TGGTGGGGCAGAAGAGCACAAGTAAATGCTGCCAGCAGCAGCATTAGTTAAACTATCCTTGTGAGCTGCCTGAGTTTTTAAATAACCTTATTTCTCTTCAGTACCATAATATAAAGCATAACATAAAGTTTTGCTTCATTTTAAAAAATCCTCTCTTCTGTTGACATTGGGGGGCTGTTTGGTGTCAACAACCTCTTTTATCTATTAAACATCAATCAACCTGCATCCAGCACCTCTGAATAGCTGGTGCAAAACATCCATCGTTTCCGACTCACAATCCAGCCACAGCAGTGCCAACACACGTCAGTCTCCTGCTTGTTGAATTTTGGTAAAGGGCATGATCTAAGATTTAACATAAATATGTTCTATCTTTCCCCATGTCCCTTCCTTTCACAACCTGTCCTATGGAGTTGTTCTGTGCAAGGGAGTTGATTCAGCACTACTGTCTTCACATAGGATTAGCCATGATGTTCCCAGTCATCAGGATGGACTAAGCAAGGAGTAACTTCCCCACTTACACACGCTTCATTAAAACCACGTATTTTTTCTCAGATATAGGACAGAGATAATTAGCTCTCTCCTACCCTATTAGATTCAGTGTTGTTATTATTCCATTGTATGTATATATAGATATACCTACATGTTCCATTTTTCAGTGATCACCTCTCCTGTCTGTACAGCCTCCACACCCTCTTCTCTGTTCACAAAACAGGACAATATAACTTTTAAGATTTCTGAGGTTCTTTATCACATTTGCTATCCTCTAAAGGAACAAAATTCCACCAAAATGGTCACATTACCATGGTCATAATTTCTTAGCATGTGATGTGGCATATTTAGTCCCCATTACAAATTCATTCTGTAAGTATCCTTCTATTTGGGATACTCTACATTATATTTTGTTGACTTTATTGTAAAAATTCAGTATTTATAAAATAGTAAGACCAGGTATTATTTTGAAGAATGCACACCTTTCAGGCAATGAGCAGTAAAACATCCTCACCGTGACTAATTTTGAAAGATAAATGATTTCAATTCTTTAACTGAATTTAAAATTTATTTCCAGAGAGGTAAAGGCTGCCTGATATTTCAAAAGTTACGGGTAAGATAATCCTGCCTCCTGCTTCCCCCATTTAAAAAGATATTTTTCAAAGAGCAAAAGCAAAAGTGATAAATTTCTGTAACTCACTATAAAGCAAATTTCTATGCCAGCTTAAGAAAAGTACTAGATTTAAGTCAGTATGTTGAAAATATGCCTAGATGTATCTACGACACATTCTTCAAGTCTGAATGAATCTACCCAATACTACAGAGGCTGCACTGTAAATGGACAAGCCAAGCATTAACATATGTAAATTCAGGAAATAAGGATTTCATTACGCAGACTCAATATTACAGCCCAGCTCCAGAAATAACTCTTTTAAAACATTCTTTTAGATTTTTGAAACATTAATTCCTGAAGGACAAACATTTAATTTCCTTCATCATTTCTGCAAGCTGTAAGAGCTGGGTTTTTTTAGTAAGGGAAAGACCAAGGCTTTCCCCCCCCCCATGATTTTTACATCTCTGACATCAGCACAATACTTGAATTGAGAAATGTAGAATATAAAATGATTCAAGGGTTTCACTGACAGATTGTACAATATGCTACTACTGGGAGAGAGCAAATGGGAATGTTTTTGTCAGTGCAGCTGGGGCAGATATGAAGGGACTTGCTAGAATCAAAATTAAAATTATGTCAACTGAAAAACACCAGTAAGTTGAATATTGCAGGTTACTGTCATAACTGATCAGAAGAGTTCAAAGTAAAAATGCGTGCACAGCAGTCAGCACATGAGAACAATGAAAGCACTGTTAAATCTACGTGATGATACATTTCAAAACTGAAACACTCACAAATAATTTACGCAACCCAGGCACTTAGTAAATGTCACGGTAGAAGTGTTTAATGTATTCCTGAGACGTTAAAAAAACATTTGCAAAAATAGGGGAATACCTTGACTGAAAGCAGAAATTGTAACATAATGTCTAGAACACCATCCATGATCCCAGTGTCTGTCCCTTCCTCACATGCAATGAAAATGAAAAACATTTAATGCTAAGTCAGTGAGTTTACTCAGTGGTCAAAAAACTACCTCAGCAGCTCAAGTTTTCAGCACACTGAATGGAGAGTTGAGAAAGAACTTGAAAATTACTAGATATACAGTGATTTTTTAAAATTTCATAGTGGGAATAATTACATGAGAATGATTGTAGTAGGGGAAGGAAAAATATCTTTAAGGAAAACAAGCCAGCTTTCCAGCACATGGATGATAAATCCTATCTCAGGAGAAAATGTGAGATATAAGTAAAAACAGAGGAGGCATCTGTATATCCAAGTTGGTTGATAGCAATTATCCCTAATGACATTAAACTCTGACTCTGTGAGGTCTCCTTGTTCGTTCCACAATGCACAACAAGGGGAGCAATAACATGAAAATGTTCATTACCTTCACTAAAATATAAACACTGGCAGTTTTGCATTAAAATACATATTTTAACATTCATGTGTCAAGGCTTAAGTCAGTTGTCTGCAAGGATCTAGTAGCACAGGATCAGGACTGCTCTGCTTTTTTAATAAACTGCAGTGCTGCTTGTCATAATATTATGAGCAAATACGCTGATTTTGCCCCTGTAAGGGTAAATAGACAGTGTACTTAGCACAGGAATAAGCTTAATATTCGCATTCTGTAAGTAAAGTAGCTGTTGCCAATAAATACCCATACTAAAGAACTTTGGGCTCTCCCTTTTCAGTGACAGAACAAGTTTGGCACCAGAAGAGCTCCTCAGATCTCCACTGGCACAGCAGCGCCCTTAGCTCTGACAAGGGACATTTTGCATTCCAGCACACACTTCTGCAGAACCAGAATAAGACAGGAGGGGAAATCATACAAGGAAAATTTGGCCCAGAATAAAAATAGAATGGTTTCCTGCTGCGACCACCCCAAAATTCCTGAACAATTGCCTTTGGGAAGTTTGTCAGGCATGTAGCCTGTTCAGGACAATTCTGGATATGGAATAGTTGGCTGTTGGACATCTGGTCTCCTCAGCTTCCAAACCAGAGATGAAGTAATCAATGTTAGTCAAACCGAAAAGGACTCCAAACATGCCGATCATCAGCGGCTTCTCCTAAGTCATCCAGCTATGCTGGATGGATTAAGAACATATTGGAATTTTTTTCAAATTCCTAATTTGTTAGTTTTATGTTTTAAGAGTTACAGAGCGGTAAGAGCTCAAGAGAGAGAATGCTGACTTAAGAAAGAAGAAAATGAACATGGTGCCAGCAAATTCAACTATATCAGCAAAGCCACTTCTGTGCTAAACATCTGAATCTACAGTAAATCTGATATAGAGTAGGATGAAATTATGCTAAATTACCATATTAAAAAAAAAACCAAAAACAAAAAAACACCCCCATACAACAAACCAGCATACAGACTACAATTAAATTGTAATTGGATTTGTCATTTCAAAGTATTAGCATCAGATTTCCACATAATGCAGGATGACATATTCTTGTGCTAATAAATAGAAAGTTAGAAAAGTAAACAAAGCATGTGTTTCTACTGTAAGGAAATACGTGCACCAATGAAGCAACCTTTTCAGCACAGAAGTAATTTAATACCCAAACCACATGAAAAGTGATCTCTCTGGGAATAGCACAGCTGCTAAAATCCAAGTCAATTTTTATTAAATCGTCAAGTCTGTTTATGCAAAACTGGGCTCTCTTTAAATGACCTCCAAGAGGAAATTATTTGCTAACAAAAAATTTATACCTGCATTTATCTATACAGGAGTACATTCTTATTGTTTTTGTATATCAGTATGTCTTGGATTAGAGATTAAAAAAATAATAGTAAGAAAATAAAAGAAAATGTAACAGTTTAACTCCTCAGGCTCCACCATCAAATTTTAGCTACTGCTGAGCTTTCAGCTATTCAAAAGGGTAGACAAAACTGCTGTTATATTTAGAAATGTGCTAGTTTAGTGCTTCAACTTTTGAGGAGAAATGCACATTAATTGTCCTTCAAACTTGTCAAATGAACCCAGGTAGTCTAGAGGAATAAAAGGAATACTGTAGAATAAGGTATTGTGCAAGTTCTAAAAAATATGACAGTGTCTCAGGAGTTTTTGATGGCTCTTTGCAAGAAGGGCAAGTGCAGTGAAAAGAACAGAAAGAACTTCTTGCAGTCGGTCTCAAGGTGCACAAAAAGGAATCAAATCAATGGCATTCCCAAGCAGTCCAAACCATGAGTCAAAACCTCTGAAACTTCCTATCAAGATATCCCAGTCAGAACTTCTTGAACTTGCACTACATGGCCATAGAAAACTTGCCAAAGAAAACTTTTCAAGGCCACTGTACAGGCAGACAATTCAAGAGCTGCCCCACTGTTCCAGCAGGACACAGCCCAGAGCCCAGAACAGCTGCAAACTGTGAGGTGACTCAGGACCGCCAACACCAGCACCAAAATGAACAGTCTCTTCAATGAAGAAGCAATTCTTTTCCCTCAGTTGTTCTTTATACATCTGTTTTGAATCACAAACCAGAAATTTAATATCTTTACAAATACACAAAGTTGCTTAAGTTCCAGAAAGCTAAAAAGTTGTATCTATCAGACATCAGAAAGGATTTCTTAAACAATATCAATCTTATTCTTTCCCACAAAACTAAAAGATATTGACAGTATTTATGTGAAAAACCTTTCAGAAATGTTTCAGAATCCAATCTCTTCTTGGATTCTTCAGCTGACTAGAACATTTACATGGAGATAGCATGCTAATAGGCGATGTCAAAGAAACTTGGAAAACAGCAAAAAAAGAAGGGTATGAGGGCACAAGAACTTTAGCTGAAGAGATTCCAATCCCTAAGGGAAGACAGAAAAAATGTGAAACATAAAGCAGTCCTTTACTCCAAGACTGACCCAGAGCAACACATATAAATGAAGGACAGACAGACTTACCTTGGCTGAGCAGGCTGTGCACTTATCAAATGCCAAGCTGACGGGAAGAACATTATCAAATCTTGATAAGAATCCTCGGATCTAGAAGAGGAAAGAAAATCACAATACTGTTTTAAAACACTTCCAGAATTCAACATGAACTGGAGATACACAACTTATAACTATGGTATATAACATTCTAACACAGTCACCCTCAGTAACACCTGTAGTAAATTCATACTAACACATATTACTGTTTTTCTATATACAAATAAAGGTACAACTATCTAAATGTAACACTATTTAACCAGAAAGAGAGGTACAGCACCACCTGCAGTTTGTCTTTTCTGAGTGCAAAAATTTGATCAAAAATAAAAAATCATGGTATAACTGGTTAAACATACTTTTATTGTCCATTTCTAACATATAGTCTGAAAACCCAGCTGCTGTGCATTCCTAAACTAGGATATTAATATGATAGGTAAGTTTAAAATTCCAGAGCAAACACTGCAGCATGTTTGAATATTCAGACCATGAACTCTTAAGAGTACTGATCATCCTTTTTGTTCTGTGCTTTTATAGGTCTACTACAATGAAGAGATGTCACAAAGAACAGAACTTTAGTGTAATGCAAATAATAATGCCTTAATTTTGAAGTCTATTATGGAAATCCACCCAACATACACTCCACGCATTTCATGGAGCTGGAATGGTAGAGACCTGGGAAGCCAACAGCAGTTGAAACTATTTAATACTATCACTAGTATTAATACAAAGGTATTTTTGCAGAAACACCAAGCCATAAATAGTATCAGAACACAAAAATACAGCAAATTTGTACACAAAGAAAGATGAAAATAAAACAACAAAATCAAGCCTTTCTGGTACTTCTCCAACAATAAATCAGTACTTGGATCAGCAAATGAACAGGACTTAGATTTGGATTCTGCTTCCTACTGAGATGTGAGAGGTCAAAATATCTCCCGCAGCAGCTGGGCTGGACTTGACTGACAACAGCATTAGCATTGGAACTACAGATAACACTATAGGATATGGGAATAACTAAGTTATAATAAAGTAACACTGAGAAAGCAACAAACTTATCCATTAGTGCCAAAGCTGGAAATTGTTGAGACCCTTCCAGATGAGCAGATCAAAAGTGCCAGCATGGACAAAAGCCTTGTACTGAGGGTATCTGAACCATTCAATCAAGAACTGGATTATTTCTGACCAGTCCCGCAGCTGAGTGTCCACAGTAAAAAGGGGGAAAAATTCAGGGGACTCCTGAGAAAGAACTGAAGAGACTGCAGACTTATTGGAGAGAGAGAACTCAGGGAGAACCTAGGGCAACCCATTGCATAAAATGACCCAAGTATGCACACTGGTCATTACATAAAATTATAAACAAAATTAGACAGATTTTATATAGCCCAGACCCCGTGATACCTGGATGTTGCAAAGAAAACATACTACTACCTTTATGTTTTTCTGAATAAAGGTTCATTCTTAGTGTAAAAAGAAACCCAAAAACCAACAGAATCTAAAAATACTGCTCAGAAACAAATAAATTGTTTATTTATACAATGGAAGTATACAAACAGAGTCATTCAGATAGCAATATAAGGAAAGAGGCACAGAATAATTCTAGTCCCCATGATAATATCAAAGATGATATGATTACAGGGATAAAATCAGGAGACAGGTTTTTGAAGGACTGTATAAGAAATAAGAACAAGTCTATCCAGTAATGTAAAAACTTTATCCTTAGCACATTTGTAACTAGAGTTTGGGTTGAGCAGAAGAATAAAGTGCTGTATTGTACCAAAAATACACGAATATTTTGGAGAACTATAATAACTGAGTTGGTTGGATTTGATTTTTTTTCATATTCTGAAGAGATTTAAAAAGGGAACAAAACTCACTTTGAAATCATCATATAGTTAGCTCTGACAGGGGACAGGAAAGTCAGAGGTTGCCTTATTCACATACTGCCTGCTCCAAAGAACGTCTTGCTAAGTAGGTAGCAGGATCTCTGCGACCACAAGGAGGACAGAACAATGTCAGGAACACAAATACCTTGGCCTGTGTGATGGTTTAATATTATTCATATATTTTTTTAAACAAACATGGAGAGTCAGTCCTTTCAGTAATGGAATCAGCATATTGCATGTTTTTGTTAAGGAGACAAAATCTGTGATATTTGCCTTATATCAGTTCCCAGGTCTTAAACAAAAGCATTTACTCACAAATTATTTACCTGATGAGGAACAAGTCCAAGAGAAGTAGGGGGCTCATTCATTCTATCATCACTACTGCTGGCCACAGCATAACCACTGCCAAAAATCCAAGAAGGAAAATTAGAACGAGACAGCACACTCAAAGTCAAAATTTCCAGTAAGCTTCTAGGCGTTTTGTTACAGCTTATGGTTTAGAATCTGGAAAGGAACCTATCTGGAAAGTCTGTTTCAGAGTAACTAAGATACACCATGGGGATATAAATCAATCTGAGACTTGCAACACACTCATGTCCAACTCCTAAGTCACTTTTTCTTTCACAGATTTTAAAGACAGGAAAAAAAGCCTCAATTTCAAGTTGCAGAATTTCAGAATAATTTCTGTATTAAACCCACCTAATTTTAAATAAGGTTTGCAATACGTGGCTTATCTTGAAGCCCTTCATGTGACACAGATAGTTACAACAGCTGTTCATTACACTCAAACACTGTTCAACAAGAAAATGCCAAGATCAACTAACAGCAATATTTTCTTCTCAATACTTTTTTACTGTTAAGCTCAGAGAGAAAATAAAAAGAAAAACTTAAGATTTGATGAATCAGTTCTCTCAGATACCATTAAATTATACCAATACAGTAAATGTGACCTATACATTACATTAATCTACAGACAACATTACACCTTATAGAATTGTCCTATTTGGTGTGCACTTCTTTCTTCTCAAAAGATTTTATTAAATTTGTCTTATTTCTCAGAGAATACCAGTGCAGAAATGACTCACCCTTCTGGATGCTGTAAAACAGAAACCATTAATTCCACTGCAAGGGCTCCAGCTACCATGGCTAATCCAGGGCGACTGACTGTGCACTGCTGGTCCAGTGTCCGATCCCTAGTGGACTACAAAGATAGACAATTCTGAAGGAAAGAAAAGAAGTAACTCAAAAGTAACTATCTGTTGCTGCACAAAACAACCTCAGTTCTGTGCAATTAATTTCTTTAATCTTCCAAGTAAAAGATAAGCCATTTCTTAATCCTGTGTACATCAACATAAAACAAATCCCTTCATGAAACTTCATTTAAAGGAAATAAATAATTCAAGTCACAACAAAAAAAAACATATAATCACCATTTGCATAAAGATCTACTCACATCCCCTGGTGCCACAACATCATTGCAGAAGTAGCAGCCCAGTTTATAGCCGGGGATATTTGAAAAGAGTGACGATCCCAAAAGATCAGAAGAGCCAGAAGCATTGCTGAAACATGAATCACCAGATTCTTGCTGTTTTGGTTTCTTTAGGCCGTGTCTCATAACAACAAAAGTGTCAAATCCCAAGGCAGCATTGATGACCAACTGTGAACAACAAGAGAGAACAAGAGATTTTAAGTGAGCCAAAAAGGGAGGGGGAAAAAAGGCCTCAAGGCTTTATTTACTGTAAATGTCCCATTATTTACTGTAAAACTCCCACATGCTGTAGATAGATGAACTACCCATTAATTGCATATCTACCATTCTTATAATAAACAACAGAGTTTCTGAAAGGTGCAGAATTCCAGTTATCAAGTACTTCTAAGAAACAAAGCCTAAATAGAAGTCTGTTTTGAAAAGCCACAAACCCTTGCCTTTTTGTGTGTCTTTCAGGGAAATCTGATACAAATTAATGACTCCATCTAACCATTATACAAACCTATGCACACTTGCTGGCAAGAAAGTAAGAGGAACTTCAAGCAGTGAAACACCATCTGTTATCAAAAAAAAAAATCTGCTCAGTAAGGAAAGCAATTAATGATTACTTATGGTCTTCATATGCATATGCTTAGTCACATGGGGAGCACAAGCAGTTGTGGTACAGTTACACTGTCATCATTTTCCCTTTTCTTTCTGGCTTGTGGCAAGCTTGAGAGTTGCATCATCATTCTCAGTATTTCAAATAACTCCTGGATAGTCTCTTTTGTAGTAGTTTATCTTCTCCTCAGTTCTAAAGTAGAACCATGCTGTTGAATCTGTGGTAGCACAGCCAGGTCTACAGCAATTAAAAGACTGCATCTTCTTGTTACATCAATGTGTAAAGCCTGAATATGGTAGTCCACCTTCAGAATATCAGTAAAATGGCACGGCTGGTATTATTGGAAACTAATAACAATGCCAAACACTTCCCACTGCAATAAACTGTTTCTCTCTTTTCAATTTATTGGTTAGCAACTACTTCCATCTAGCTGATTGACCCTTAGCAAGAAAACCCCAGAATCATCTGGTTTTGATAAAGAGACAATGGAAAAGTGTCTCTTGGCATGCATTAAAAAAAAAAGGCGCAAAATTTTACAAGTTCCAGTGTTCAAGAGGAACAAAGGTGTAATATCTGACGTGAGGATTTAACACTTGAGGGGTCTAAGATGCTTGTTTTGGGGAGAGGAAAGTAGGAATATCAAAGAATGACTATATGGGAAAACCAACTCTTTCTTTCCCCATGCACCTGTTTTTATGCACTTTACACACATTCTCATTCACTATGTTCTTCATATTCCACATCCCTTTTTTGAGACCTTGGGGACCAAACTGCAGCAGTACTGCATACAAAATTACAAGTACTCATACAAAATTACATTTGAAACAGAGCTCTCATTAAATGTGTGTCAGCACGAAGTACTGAGCATTTCAGCTTGGACACCTTGAGATTTCACTGCTATGCTTATTCAGTGACAGGGAATTCCATCTCCTCGTATCAAAGGGATCTTATCAAACCAACTAACAGTGATGCAGACACACTATGCCACTGAATAACAGAGAAGTGTCACAAAGAAATTTTAAAATTTGTCATCGAAATATGATTTGAATGCTGCAAGGCAAGTGTAGTGGGGCACTGTTAGCTAAGCAAATGCGAGGGGAGGTTTTAGAGATCATTAAAGCAACCCTATCCTGACTGAACCAGACAGCCTGCATATAAAATATGCATATGCATATAAAACTGTATATATTTCTTACAATTACCAACCACCATACATATGGAAGAGTAGGCTGGCACTTTCCAGTTCAATAGCCAGCTTTGTAAACTTACTCTTTATGCCATTTCTGAGTTGTTTTAAACAGCTAAAAGATTGCTGAAAGACCACAGGTGCAAACTGCAGAGAGGACAGGAGGATTAAGGAGGAATTGATTAAGGTATCAAGTTACACCCACTCACACCTGAAGTTATACTTCAGTGCAGTCCACACTAAAGGGACATCCTGATCTTTCTACTGGCAGTGTAATTCACTGGCAAAGGGAAGTTCATTTGAGCTACAAAGACATACAAGCCTATTGTTCAGGATCAGAAATCTATTTAAATTAAGGAAAGAATGAAGAAAAAGAAATGGTACAATACCTTCCTCTTACTGGCTGCAATGACAGCAGGAAGCCATCGACTCTCTCTAGTGTCCATTAGTAGGAAAACAACATCATGAGCATCAATAAGCTCTTCAAGTTTAGCCACATCCTTCCGAGCCTGTGCCATTGTTACCTCAGAAAAATTCACTGGGTGGCCTGGCATAGGGATGCTCATGTTATAGCCTTCTGAGCTCTAGATGGAGGCAGACAGAAAAAAACAGGTTAAAAAGATAACCTTGTGATTGAATAGAATTAGTATAAAATTCAATACAAAACTGTAGAGTACAAATTCAATTAGTCTTTGGCAGAATGGCAACTTTCTTCTTGACATCTCTCTGTGTGACAGTGCAGTGCTAAAGTTTCTGAGTCTCAGCTGCTGTATTTATTTATCCAGAACACAGCATCTCAGTACACACAAGTTTGGGTCACAAGTGCAGACCAACCCTGTGTCTCACGTCTTTTCAGGCCTAGCAAATTACTACAGGAAGGTAGTTGAATTGCTCTTCATCCCAGAAGTTACAAACATCCCTCACTACAAAGGCAAGCAATTCCATTTACATGTGATTATGATCTGGCTGTTAAACATGTATAAAATCTTTCTTTTGGATTCTCTTTGCAGCCACTTCACACATGATGTTCACAGGATGCAGTTCATATTTCTTATATGGAATACTGACTTAGTTATAGTAAGGTATGTGAAGTATCACACGTTCTGCTCTTTGTTTTAAATTCCTTAGCATCAAATGATTTTGCTGTAATTCAACTAGCCATATGTGAAGTTGATATAGAAGAAAAACACTTTTGAGACTTGTTACTCTAGAGCTTGGCTGTCTGGAGACTTGTATTGTGCAGATGCTGAAAAGAGCATATTCCTGTTGCTGAAACATATTCCTCTTCCAACCTCCTATTTGGGCAAGGCACACTGAGCAGAAAATACTGAGCCAAATAAGCATAAACACAAGGCATATACAATGCAAACAATTAACTCACTCATTTGGAAATATATTAACACAATCTGACAGCCATCTGCTGTAAGAGAAGAATGGATCTTCATATATGTTACAGAAGCATGAGCTTTGCCAAAGCCTCCCTGCCTGTCGCTGAGCTTTAAGCAACTAACAATTTAAAAGTCAGAATTTAAAAGCTGGATGAACCAAAAACAAAATTGCATGGGAAGAGAGAAAAGGAAGGTTGGTGTAATGTGCTTTTGTATAGACCGACTACAAGCACAACTCATAAATCCAGATGAGGCAAATAACCATAAGGGTGAATGTACATTCTAAACATCATAAATATCCCTGAGGATGGTAAAAAGAACAAGGCACATATAGCAGCTTGGGGAAATTAATGCAGTGATATCTGTATTAACCACACCAAAGGATATACCTTTTTTTCCCTTTTTCCCCTCACTGCCACCTCCAAGGGTAGGAAAGCAGAGCTCACAGTGACCCAGCATGCTACCAACAAGAAGCTGCTTCCCAGTGAGAACAGCTCTGTATCACCAGCACACTAGGTAATTACTGGAGGAGGTTCTACCTTCAGGGTCATTATACCCTCAAAAAGTTGTGGCAGGAACAGAAAACTTAATCCATGTTGCAGATGAATAATGTATTTATGGATAACTCATTAAGTCGTACTGCACAAAACTGCTGATCTATTACATAAGCATAACTGACACTGCGGGGGGTAATTTTTGTTCAATAAAGTAACACAAAAAAGTAAAGAAGTAAGTTGAACACCATCTTCATGGAAATATGGTAACCAGGTTTGTAAAATACTAAAATCTTAGCAGAATTCAGAAAAAAACTATACTGTGACTGTAGCTGTAGGAATATAGACAAGTCTAGCAGCTTCAATAGTTTCAACTGTCCCTTGAAAAAAAGACAACACTCATTAGCAAAAGTAGCTGAGGTTCACTTCTGCAGCCAAATGCTGGCAAAAAGAATTCAAAGAGTAGCTTGGGATGGCACATGAATATTATTTTAAGGAGGAGTAAATGCGCATATATCCCCGAAGACACATCTTGCTCATTCCACAGAATTCGAAAATCTCAGGAGTTTCTATGTGATGAAAAGAATTTTGCTTGACTGTTCACAAAAAAGCTTAGGTTTTAAGACCTTCACGCTAAAAAAAAATTTAAAATTACTCTAAATTATCCAAAACAACTTACCATCCCATCAAGTAATAGAGTCGCACACAATTCTTTTTTTTAGAAGTATGTTGACATGTGCAAAACCATAAAAGATAATGTACTTTTTAACACTTTCACTGACAGTTGACCAAAGCTGTGCTAGAGGCTCTAGTGTTTTTGGGGGTTTCTGCATTTCTTTTTAAAGCCAACAGGCAAAATATTGCAATTTGTGGTGCTACCATAACATTCTCTCTCATTTTTATTCACATTTCTATTATCTTCCTGCATTTTTGGTTAAACCATGGCTCAGATCACTTAGGATATAACTGTGTTCAATACATTAAAACTGAACAGAAATGTGTAAGTACAAATAACATTAAGAAATGGGGTGCTGGCATCACTAAATTGTTCTATGAGAAGCATCTACATAAAGTGGCCCCCCAGGCAGTATAGAGTAAAGGATGATAAGATGATAAATACACTGGAGTTCCATGCCTGAATAGTTCAGGAAATGACTATATAAGAGAGGTAAGAAAGTTAAATTCCACAGAACAGCTACATGATTGACTCTGTGCATTACCTACTTGTTAAGAAAAGCTGTGAATCCATAAATGCTGCTATTTCCAAGGCCTCTCTTCTTTTTTATAGTAAAACTCTAAGCTATAGCTAATGATAATCTTAGAAGTGGAATGAAACAAATCAAAGCTGCTTGCCAAAGCATTCCTTCTTGTTTCATCTGCAATGATGAGGTGGTTACTCATCCAACTAGAAAGGATGTAAAATTAAAAAATAAAGCAGAATTCACAGAGAGTAGTCGAGCATTTCAAAGTCAACCAGCAGAAACTGCATTTCACATGCAAAATATTACTCACAATTGAATCAAAGAAAGTAACTTAGACTGCAAACATAAACCCGAGTTTTCAGAAACGCCTTCAGAACCAGCACTGCTGATTGGATTCCCTCGGAAAGGACCATGTGGGTTTCCAAACAGCAAGAGACAGCTTTGGCTACTCCTTCAGTAGGAGAGAAATGAGAACGCTCAAAATCCGGGACAATTAATCATTTTATTCAAAGACATTTAAACTGGTAAATCTGGACTTTATAAGAAGAAAAGCACAGTCTGTGGGAACAGATGTAGCTCCATGGAGAAGCCCAGCGCAGCCACTGGGCTATGAACATCTCCAGCTACAGCAGCTTCACTGCCCAAACCATCCCAAGGCACCGAAATTTTCCCCCAACTAATTAAAGACTTGTTGTTACTCCATGTGCTTGGCCTGCTGCTTGAATCTCACACCTCACATGCTGCCAGCATGATATGAACTGTTTGAACCAGAGGCTTCACTGGGAAGCCTTGTTAATTCTTGTTGGTGCTGGTATGTTTCTCTGTTTATTTACAGATGGTCAAACAGGATACCTCTTCTCCATGAATTCTACTGCAGGAATGAGATTGACCAAAAACTAAATTAGAAACATTGTATCATGAGGTTACACAGGACTGTGCAACTGGTTTCTCCTCATTTGTGCCAAAAAGCTATGAAACCAGGTGTGAGTCCCACTGAAGGCTGATCAGATGTGACACATCCACGGTACAAGGAAACAACAGGGAATGCATAACACTAATGGGGATGCTGTGCTATGAAAACAGTGGTAGGTGCAGAATATTTGAGGTGTATAGTAGAGGAAAAATTCCTTACATACAGTACAGGTTGCACATTGCATATGCTATTACCATACAAGAACTTTTTTTTTCCCTGTGTAATGGCCAGTCTTCGCAAGCGAAGATCCGGGGAAGGTCTTTACACCTTCCAGCCTGCGCATTGGATTTTTTAGGTGAGACACAGTGTGCGTGGAACTGAGCCCACCCTTTAATCCTAAGGTTCATCTGCCGGGGCCAAGCGAGCTTGGACGGTGGCAGCGAGGTCCTTAGGACGTAGGTGGGTTGCCTTTAAGGGCTAACGAGCCCCACCTGCCCGGGAGTGGCCCTGACCGGGAATCGAACCCGGGTCTCGGCGGTGATAGCGCGGCGCCTTTACCACTAGACCACCAGGGGCTCTAGCAAATATATATGCATATACATCATCAACACAGGCTCACTAAAGCACTGTTATTGGCTCCTCTTTATTACTAGAAGCTCTTCTCCAGGTTACATTTAACATTTTTTTTTCCTTTTATTTTTTCCAAGCCTTATCACAATCTCACGATTCCACAATACAGTCTAGTCTTTCGTTTTCTTGGTTATTTCTAACAAGAAAACTCATAACTGTACCAGTCAATACTACACAAACAGCTTTTATTTCCTCTAATTAAACCACTCATTCTTTCTTAATATTCTTGTTTTTGAGTTCCCAAGTATAAAGTGAGAAATCGTGTGACACATGCCCTAGAGAGCATCCTGTTGGTGCTCTGTGTGACACTGCACAAATGCTTTCTCTTCTGTACTTGATATTTAACATTTCTATAACTAAATGAGTATCACCAAGAAACAGTAACACTATAGTGCAGCAAGCTTAAACAAAGCTCTTAGAACCTTCAGAGAGTTTCTCCCGGTTTCCTTACCAAAAGTTCTGAAAGTGAAATGCTCAGAATTTTTTCATACTGGGGATCAAATATTTATTGAATTACTTCTTAGTAGAAATACTGACTTCATAAACAATAATAGTAGGATAATAATAGGGTCAACACAGAGAGAAGAATAAAAGCACAGGGCACTCCTTGGCTAAAGCTAAATGAACCCTGAAATGTTTAGAAATTATCTTTAAAGTTGTTCACAACACTGAGCATCAATGACATAATCTGTATTTCCCTCTTCATAACTCCTAATATTATTATGACTAGTAATAAAGTAGCACTTTAAATACAGAATTGCATAGTGAGTATTCTTACTACACTGAGATGCTTTTGCCAGCTGAGCTCTGGTAACTATAGCTACGTATTCTAAGACAGTCTCAATTCCAAAACAAACACTGTTTTATCAACAGCTGAGTGACTTTCATCACATGCCAAACTAGCCTAAAAAATTTTTGTTCATGATAGAGGATGCTGAGAGTGTGTTTATTCTGAAATTATAGGTCAACTACTTTTCTGGAAGTTAAATATTAACTTATTTTCTTCTACTGTAGCAAATCAATTAAATAAGACTGTAAATTTTAAGTGTAAAACATAACAGAAAATCTCAATGATACATTTATTACGTTTCAAGACCTGCTCCCATAAATGGACAATTAATATGTCTAACCTCATATTTAAGAACAGAAAGTTCCTTAGGACATACTAGACAGAAAAACATTTTACTTCACCATCAATGAACTATAAGATAATTCAGATGGTGCTTATTTCTACTTCATCATTACAAATATTTGTCTCAGTAAAGTTTAACAGGTATGGAGCACCTGAAGTAAAATGCTTGCCGGTTTGTCAGTAACCAACATATCACCTGTGTACCATTTTTCCCTCACTCATAATAATGTTTAATTATTAGCATGTGGAATAGCAATTTAAAGTCCCTGCTTTTCTTCCAAGTAATGTATCAACGTGTTGAGAAATACTGATCTTACCACTCCTGGGAAGATTTTCAGTAGCCTGTCTGCTGCTGCAAGTGCCTTGGGCTTCCCCCCACTCAGACAGTCTTCAAACTCGTACAGCGGCTGCCGCACAGGGTTGGAGTAGGAGATCTTTGCATTGTCCACAAACGTGATCTTCCTGACTCCCCAGCCCTAAACAAGAAAGGAGTTCAAATAATGGCAAGTGCATTAGCCTTAGATAAATACTTTTGAGTAATGCCAGACACTAAAGAGTCTGGTCCATTTTTTTCTAGAAAGATCAAGCTATGAAAGCTTTTGAATCTTGTACTTGCACAGAAATCAAGGAACAGAAAATATGGTCTGTCCAAATATATCATTTAACAGTAATCCCTCAAAACCCTACTGAATTCAGTGGGATGTGGTGAACATCCCTAAAAGTAATTATCAGCAGTTAGTTACTAAGTGCTTCACTGTGAATTTGATCATAGAATCATAGAATCAACTGGGTTGGAAAAGGACCTCTGAGATCAAATCCAACCCTTGATCCAACACCTCCGTGGTTCCCAGACCATGGCACTGATGCCACATCCAGTCTCATCTTAAAAATCTCCAGGGATGAAGAATCCACCACTTCCCTGGGCAGCCAGGAATCTGCCTCTTCTCCGCCATGTGGAGTTCCCAGCAGACATTAGGCAGGTTGAAGTTGCCCACAAGAACAAGGGCTGGCGATTTTGAGACATCTGCCAGCTGCTTGTAGAATAATTCATCACCCTCATCACCCTGGTTGGGTGGTCTAGAACAGACTCCCACCAGGATATCAGCCTGGTTGGCCTTCCCCCTGATTCTGATCCACAGGCACTCAATCTTATTGTTACTGACTTCAAGTTCTACAGAGTCAAGGGACTCTCTAACATACAGAGCCACCCCTTCACCTCTCCTACCCTGCCTGTCCCTTCTGAAGAGCTTGTAGCCACCCATGGCAGCACTCCAGTCATGCCAGTCATCCCCACACGTTTCTGTGATGGCGACATCACAGCTGTCCTGCTGCCCGATGGCTTCCAGCTCCTCCTGTTTGCTACCCACACTGCATATTTACAGCTCATTAAAATTAATGAGAATTTCTTCTTCCATCTTTTTTAATGTAAATTCAAAACAAGTAATATTCTTCCACCGTTCTCTGATTTTCTACTATTCTACTATTAGCAGAACTTATTGGCTACAGATCTTATCTCTTCTCTGCAATTTATAGTACCAACTAATTATGCATTATGTGTATTTTATGAACAGGAATACAACTTTTCTCTTACATGTCATGGCACCTGGACAAAAAAAAAAGAAATACAGAATTTATAAGAAACAGCAGGTTATTTTTAAGATTAACTCAGGACTTACCATCAAGGTCCTTGCAACACTGCAACCCAGTGTACCAGCTCCTAGCAGCAGACACTTGGCAGACACAATCTTTTCCAAATCCAGAGTAGGCACCAAACGCCAGCACATCAATTTCAAATTAAGATCCACGGATGATTCTGCTAACCTAGACCATGAAATAAATAGCAACACGCTTCTGAATGCTCTTGTGTTTCTCCAACAAAGCAATTACTTGTTTTTCAACTGAAGAAGTTCAAGACTTACTTTTTAAAGGAGAGAAAGAATTCAGTGATTTAACACATAGGCAATTATGATAAACAAAGTCTCCCAAGCATATTTCTACCTAATAATAAGGTGCATGGCAAAGACAGTGGAAAAACGTTTTTTATGCTCCTTGTTCACTCATGACACACGCAAAACATGCAAAAAGAAGATGCCAAAAATCATTCTAAATAAATATACACACAGCTCCTGATACTCAATTTCCTTGGAACCTCTTATTGTAACCAACGTGTTGGCCCAATAATATTCCTAGAAAAGCTGTGACTGCACTGCTTAAAAACAGAAGAGTAAATCACTACTGAAGAAACAGTAGAAAGACAGTGGAATTTTAAAAGAAATAACTTGTAGGTATTTGAAAAGATGGTTATTAACCAGGAAATTTTGCTAGGAAAATGTTCTCTTTCAAAAGTCTGTATATACCGAAAAGGTGTCAGCTGGCCACTCTGGACTAGCTGTACAAATCTACTAAAGCCACATACTTCCTTTGGAATTGGAACAGGTCTCTAAGAGCTTCTGAAAAAGGGAACAATCCAAAATTAAAATTTTAGTAACAAAACCGATGCAAGCATGAAAATAAAACCAGTGTCTCAGACGAGATTCCTGTTAAGATCATTTGTCCATCCACTATTTTTTCTTTTTTAAATTAGTTTCCTGTATCCAGTTACACCTGCCCTTAACATGAAATATTACACTTACCCCCCTAACGAATCTGGTCAGTTCTTTGTGAAAGTTTTAGAAGGAAAATGAGGTAGGTAACCCATGTTCAAGCTAGTGTTGGATTTTTACATTCATCAGAACACAGGGTGTTAAAACTCTCATCAATCAAGTCATCACAGCTCTCAGATTGCTAAAAGTTTCATTCCCTTATACATCAATATAAAAAATTTTGCAGTATCCACTAAATTATTTGTTCAACATGGTTTGAAGATGGGAACTGTCAAGGCTGGCATAATACCAACATCCTCTGTGGGAAATAACAGAAGTGAGCATGCATAAAGAAGTTACATTTACCTATAATTAAGAGTCCTGAGATGAACTTTCTCAAAGGAAGTATGATGTGGGGGAGCCCAGCTGGCTCTGGGCTCTGTAAGCTGAAATACCGAAGATGGAATACTTACACCTGGCACAGGTTCAACCACGGACAGTAAGGACTGTGACACAGAATGGGTTTCCTGTCAGAATACTGACCTATTGTATTCAGATGTGTGGCTATGTCTAATCATGAATTGTTATGCTAGTGGTAAACCAATGGTGCGTATACATGTGTCACCTAGAACGGTATAAAGTAGCTACAATGCTGTAATAAAGGGAGCTGGTATCCTGAAACCATGTTGTGTACCACCCCAACCCACGACAGTATGAACATACCGAGAATTGCCACAATTGCAAGACAAAAACGGCTTTGCTTGATGGTTAAAATGTTAACCTGAATCATTAGATCAGCACACTCCTACACTGTTTCCAAGCCAAGAACACAGATGCAGTTAGTGAAAGCAGATGAGCCAACAGGCTCTGTAACATAACTCTTCTCAATCCATTATGTGCAGAATGATAAAAATCACTGAAGTCATCTTTCCTGAGCTCTTTCCTGTCACACTCTAACACAAAGGCTGAACTTTTCTCCATGCTTATCATCATTAACAACCTGCAGGTTATAGAATTCAGTGAAACCACAGGCCTGTAACACTATGGCCTACATTCCACTCAGTTCTAAATACAATGCGTTTGAAATTTTAAGCTAAAGTAATGGTAAAAATTTCTGCTACAGGCAGTGCACTGTTCCATTAAGGTTCTTCTCTCCAAAAGGACTGCCAAAACAATATGCAGCATATACGTTACTGTATATTCTTACCTAAGAGACAGATACTCTTTGCTTTTCACACTTCAACTTGTTATGGATTGAGCCCAAGTACAGAAAACTATTGGAATTTAAAAGATAAAACCCAAACCTTTTTGGATCCATGCATTCACTGAGATTCACCATCCTTGGACCCATGCCTCCCTTTTGGTTTTTCTCCCATCCAACAGCTTTTGGACAATCTGTTTGACACATGAAGAGAAAAAAAAAGAAAAAAAACAAAAGAAAGAATTAAAGCCTTAATATCACAGGATAGAAAAAAGAAATTTTGTTGAATTTAACACTGTTGGAAAAACACTAATTCTAAACTTTAAGTAAGTAATCTGTATTCTTAACCACCTAGTGCATGTTGCTACACAAATATTGCTGATTTACATCAACTGAAAACATTGATTCTCAGAGATGTGCTTTGCTCTCAGGTGTCCCATGTGCTGCTCTTGCCTGTTCAGCTTGCTTCAAACCTAAAAGAGACAGCATCATTCCCCACCAAGCCTCCAGATCTTTAATGTCATGCTCAGTAAATTCATAAATCAGAACTGAGTAAATGTTGCCAAGTTCAATCATTCCTTCATGTTCCTTAGACACTATCTGTGAATTCAGAGAATTATATATCCTAAATATATATAATTAAACAATACATAACAATGATATATACAAAGCATTCAGAACTTTTTGGATGAGGCACAGAAATGTTGTGATACTGTCCTTTAAGTCTGAAATTATGCTTTAACATTACAAATGTATTGTTCTAAAATACATCTAGATATGTCACTATGGGATTAAAGAAAGAGTTTCACTCTGCTCCAGGCTTTTACCATTTTAGCAATATATAGGAAGTTTGCATCATATAAATTCACTATTATATGCATTTTTTCTACCTGAGGAACTGTGTACAAATATAACAAGAAAAAACTGATTGCCTGGGCTTTTTATATTTCATATGATATCAGGAGAACTTTTCCTGTTTTTAAATCAGAAACACAATTAAAGTATGAAAAAATTAAAAAAAAAATATGCTCTCTTCTTTCTTTGTTGAAGACGGAACCATTTCCTTTATAGACTTTGACAGAAATTCAAACAATTTAAAATCCCTTTGAAATAATTAGTATAAAGCAATGACTTAGTATTATTACTTTATTTTTCTATCTCTGTGATTGAGGAGGCAGAAAAAAAAATACGAATTTTTTTTAAACTAGATTACCTGGGCCAAGGGGTTTCTCTGGAAGTTTTATTTCAAAGATAATGCTGTGTGTTATGTCCCTCACCCCTTGCATGGTCCTGTCTCTGAAGCAAAGCACTTCAACCGTCTGAAGAACGTTGCCCCTGCCATTAATAAAAAGAGATAATAGAGACAAACATCCAACTTCTTTAATGGAAGAGGGAATTCTTTTAAACAACATTTCATAAAGGTTTAGTCCCTTGCAGATTCTGAGTAAGGCTTTTTCTCAGGCATAGAAATAGAACAGAAATAGAAACAACTCCTTAGCATATGAAAATAATCAGTTTGTTGTGAATGGTTCTATGTAATGACACTGTCAGCCCATCCTCCCTCATATACACAATGCTACTGGACAAACTGTGTATTTAGAGGAACAAAAAGCAGGGAATCACTAGAGCAAATCTCAGGTGACATGATGGACTTTGCTGTGTCACAAGCAAGATCCTCTTAGTTCTCAATATTTTTCCTCCTTATGATTCAAACCCCCAAATCAAACAGTTAGAACTTGAGTGCCTAAAACCCCCTGAATCCCAAGAACGTGCAAAGCTCTCGGCTCTTACACATCCCCGTACACTGGCAGCCCAGAAAACACACCCAACCCTGCATCTCTTCTCCTGAGTGCTTTGGAATGAAATGTGACAGTCAAAACTATGGAAGTGCAGCTTAATTACAATTTTGTTACAGCAACACAAATTTATTTGATACTTTAAATAATACTTCTTTTCCAAAAAACAGTTTAAATTATACTTTTTTCTCCCAAAAACCAGAGCAAAAAACTGTTCTATCTCCCATCTTCTACCTAAAAAAAAAAAATCTACAAGAAAACCTAAGAATATATGATTTTGAGTAGACCTCAAATTGAGGTCTACTATTACTTGACACTAAATGACATAATTCATAGAATACTTTAAACAATATTTGAAGCAGCTAGAGGGTATTGTCAGGGTTTGAAGTATATACTTCCAGGCACATGCATTCATGTGAGGATTAAGATTAACAGGAACTTTTGGCTCACAGAAGTAAAAACCAGATTAATACATAAAATCAGAATCACTCAAGATGAGGCATGTTGAGGGTAAAAGCAAAATCTCAGATGGGTGATACAAGTAATGTGCCATGGGGAGAAAAATGCCTAATTTGGTATCAACCAATAAATTAGCTTTGTGTGAGAGAATAAAATAGATACCAATTGTGGGCTGCCAGGATCAGGAAATTTCTCAGTGGCCATCCTGGATAGTGGGATAAATTACATGGATCATAAACTCCAACTGTCACCTGCAAATAAAATTGATCTGCATGAGAAGTCATCTATTCATACATATATTCAGTTCACAGTAAAAGTTATGTGGTATTTTTAATTTAAAACATTTTATTTTAAACATTTAAAAGTTATCTGGACAGGGAAGGCCTACACACACATTTTGCATATTTACAAATATTTAATATATGGTTACACTAGATTTCAGTCAAGCATTTTCCACAGCTTTGACATTAATTTAGTTTGGGCTCTTTATGGACATTCAATGTTCACTCCAGTAAATGCACCTTCATTACTTTCCTTAAAAACACCATTAGGAGAGAAGCCCATCAACTGAAGTCTTGCTTTCAAACTAAAATTCTGTACTGACTTTGGAATGATCAAAAAGTGAAGGGACACAGGCCAGCAAGACAACAAATCAAAGGAAAACCAGTATAAAAATCACTTGTACAGCCAGCCTTCAAGATGGTACCATTGTGCCCAGCTCAGTACTATAGGCAATTTTCAAACCATTTGAAAATTAAACATTCATAGTTTTTAAAAAGATTTTAAATTCTCATTACCTTTCCCCCTTGGTCTTGAAAGAAAGCATCCCACTTTTTCAACAGAGATATCTTGACAGAATTGTCATGATATTTGATTAAAAAATAAGGCAGGGCTGTAACCCCCTCTTTCTGGCAAAGTTCATCATATGCTTTCTGAAGTGCTTGAATCTGAAAGCAAAAAGACAACTGTGACCAACACTTTTAACCACAGTAACAGAGATAAAAAAATTAAGTTGCTAAAACAGCATTTGTCAATGTAAATTTGAACAGGAGCGTTATTATCATTGCCACAAACTGATCTACCAGTAAGAATCAAACCAAGATAAAAATCTCAACCTGATAGTCACAGTAGCTTTCTAAGACAGTAAATCTGTCCCTTTTTTATTAGGAAAGAAACAGTCTTACTAAATTTATTTTACTAGGTGCATTTTCAGTGTTTAGTTAAAACTCTGTCTTTGGATCATGACTACTAGGTATTTTTACACTATTTACCACTACAGAACTAAGAAAGGTCTTCCAAGTAGTGAAATAAGCATTTTTCACTGAAAAAAACAAAACTGTTTCCCATTGATTACTATTTCATTAAAAAGCCATTCAAGGTTTTGCATTAACTTCTGTCAAAGCAAAAAGGCACATATGGGCATGTTGATTTTTTTGGTTCTTTTACACCATAATATGAAAGAAACTCAAAATTGTTATCTTTTCTCTTTAAAAGAAAATATCCTCACAATTAACTCCTTTTCCTTATCCAATCATGTATTTTATTAACAATTTTGTAATTTTAATGACTTGGCTCTGCCAGGGGATGCCCTTTTAAAAAAGTTTCTTTTATAATCGGTTTCAAACCCATAGCTATATATTCATTAAGCTGTATATAAAAAAATTAACATAACTGCCACTTTAAGAAGTGTTTGCCACATCATTTGCTTCATTGCCTGAATCATTATTGCCTCATCTAAATGAATAAAGGTGAAGTAACGTTAAGCTGAGAGTTTTTATACAGCAACAAAAAAAGAGGTAAACAAAACACCCACCTGGAAATAAGAAAAGTGAAGATTTTAAAAGAAATTACATTCTCAAATTAATTCGGTATGTGCTACAATAATTATGAAGTTTTGCGGTTGACAAAATTTCTTAGTACTACAGACTTCATAACATTCAGCATTCTGAATACCTGATTTAATGAGAACCTCTCACCAAGACACACTGGTTTCTGAATTATATGTATTCCATTGGGAAAGCAGAGAGCAGGGTAACAAAACCAGTAATAGAAGTGATACTTTTTTAAATCCTAGAGGAAAAAAAAAGCAAAATTAGATAATAAAAATATACATGAAACTAAATGATGGTTTGGAATACTAATTATAACTGATGGTTGATGATACTAATCATAGGAAGTACAGTTCTCTTTACCTCACAAGGCACTGTGTCATGACTTTAGAAAACCACAAAAAATACTAGAAAACTTCCCTTCTCTGTATACTTTTTTATTTAAGATTTAAATAAATAACGTGTATACAATCCTTCAGTTTTTATTAAAACTTCTACTTTGTTGAACACGAAACAGTTGCTCTACTTTTGGTAATATGCATAAAGCCACCAGGTAATCTTACAGATTTGTAGAAACTGTATGAGATGGCACCAACATTTTTTAAAGAATACATCCTAAAAGATTTGATAGCTCTACATCAGAGTGGTTTATCAGGTTTTTTTAAAAATGTTTTCAGACATGTCTTCAGAGAGTGATCCTGGTGACATTGATATGGTAACAGTAACACAGCATTTCGCCTTAAAAAAACCACTTCATCATTTCCACTACAATGCTCTAAATATGAGATACATTATCTCTACTCACTGCAAACGTCAGCAGCAGGAACCTGTTCAAGAGCATGGGGTTTTCAAGAGCAGCTCCAGATTTTATTGATTCCCATATCTGTCATTGATTGACAGGAAGGAACAGAAAGGGCAGAAAAACAAAGCAACAAGAGAGCATGAGAACAGCTGCAAGAGCTTTAATTCTTCAGGCTACCTTTAAAGTCTGGAAATTACCACTCCCAGTAATACACTGTGATCCTTTCCTAACTGATCTCATCCACACTGTCATCTGTGCTACAAGGATCTTAAAGGTAAGACACAGGAACACAAAAAATTCAGTCTTCAGTGAAGATATGCATGAAAATTTTGCTACTCAATGCCAGCATACAGATAATCAATTGAATTAAAGGAATCAAGGGTTGGTCAAAGTGAAGTGTCTCAAACAGTAAAAGACTGCCTTAAGTTTGACTTTCACTTCTTACCAAGCCATGACATTAAATATTTCAGTCTTCTTGCTGTTCTGGAGCTTCTCCATCCCTTTGTCACAGAGATATATTGCAGTAATCCAGTGTTTAAACCAGGTACTTTTAGTTTCTGGATGTCAAGACAAACTGGCAACTCCTGTTTAGCTTAAAATGCAGCCTAGTAGAACACCAAATCAAGTTCTCAAAGTATAATTAGTTACTTTCTACTCTCTTGTAAAGAACAATAAAAAGCAAACATCAAACTATTTCTACCAGAATAAGTTAGACCTTGAGGCTTCCTATATGGGTATCTCCAATACTTGGAGCAGAGACCGTAAGGCACTTCAACTGGTAGAAAGGATTTGGAAACAACTGGTGATTTGATTTTTAGACTCACCTCATTTGCTTCTTTTTCCAGAAGTGATTTCTTATCACAGGATTTGAAAGTCTCAAAAGTGTTGGTATTATACAATGTTCCAAAAGCAGGACAGCAACGTGCTGGTATCGAAGCACTCCTGAATAAAAGAAGGAACCCCCTGGGAACCGGATAAACCTTTAACACGATCAGAGATAGTAGCAGTAGCTTCCTATGGTGTAAGCTTGCCCTGAACTTATCAAGTGATGAGGCACAGTAACACAAGTAAACAACACCTCTAATAAAAACAATTTTGTGATCATAATGCTTTATAGAATACCGACTGGTTACAAATACACCTCTCCATTATGACCTCAAAAACAGATAAAGCATCTGTATTGTCTCTAAGCAAGGTGACAGTAAAACACAGATTGAAGATTTAAAAATTCTGTTCAAATATAAGCTATCCATGACAAATGTGATTTTCACTCAGAAAAAAAATTTAGACTAAACTTAGACCTCAGTATTATATTCACATAAAGAGTTACTCAGTTAAAATTTTATGTTTTAAATATGTCCCAATGGAAGCCTAAAGCAGACCAAAGATTAAGTGGAAAAACTGCTGCTTGCAAATACAAGGGGATTTTTTGAAATAAATTAGGTAAAACCCTGCAATATTCCTTTATTTATAGATCTGACCAATTTCATTGACTCCTTTTTAACATTGTTCTCCCAAACTGATATGTTTCTGGCCACTGCTAAAACTTAAATACAGCAAATGTTTAAGTTACATCATAAATACACATGATGTAGTTTCCAAAAACTTTTAAAGCTAAAAGGCACTTCTTCATGACCACCTAAATTGATTACATATGGTACAGAAAATAACTCTAGTAGAAGGAATAATTAAACCCTACATAAGTGGACCTTTCATAATTTTGTTTCTGTCCTAACGGTTGGGAGCTCAAACACCATGGTATCATCCCTTTTTTCCTAACCTGAAATTCCTGTTCCCAATGTCACAGCTGTCTTCCAATTGCACTTTGCTGCATAAGCTTTCAGCCTTGTACCTAAATGTTCTTACAAGAATTAATGGGATAATATCTCCTAGGGAATTAGCTCAAAATGCACAAAGCCACACCAGGCTCCAAACGCCCTCACCAAGCAAGGCACGCTGTGATTTACAACTCTATAATCCAACACTTCAAAACAAACAAAACACTAACTCTGAACACATGTGTTCCTATGCTAATTATACTAACTTAGGCATTTGCTGGAAATTAAAACCACATCGAAAAGATATTTTCCTTCTCATCTTGTTTTTGCTCTGTACACTGAGCAGCTTTGATTTACCTTTCACTTTGGGGTGAAGGCAAAACTACAAAATTCCGCTCAGAAATGTTAAATATTTTGGAAAAGACTGCAATGTAACACCAAGGATAGTAAAAACTATTTTGAGATTCTGATTGCAATGATGAATCCTCAGTAACCAAAGATCTAAGGAAACATTTGAAATCAGATGACTGAAATAGCCTTCTTTACACAGAAAAACTGAAGAAATGGGAAAAATGGTACTTTATAAACAAACATTGAGTGAATTAGAGACTTACCAGCATATTTTAAACTTGGCCCTTCAGATGAATATACTACTTCAGACACAAGGAGCTAGTGTTTGCAACTCAAAGCAGTCTTTCCACTGGTATAAAGTTAATGAAAAGGTATATTTATTCTCATGTAGAGTTTGTCCAAGTGATATTATATACCTACGTGTAACTGTTATGCAAGGAAAGTGTCTTCACGCAGGAATTATGGTAAATCACAGTAGGTACTTACATATCAAAGGCACTAAACTCCAATGTCAAGCGAGCTGGCAAGCCCAAAGGATCACCTGGACAAAAAGCAGTAAGATGCTTCTTTTAAACTGAAATACATAGATGAATTATCCTTTTTTTGTTAACCTAAGTTATAAATTACCCATAGACACAAGAATTCACAGCTCACTCAGCCATATTTTCTAATGTTTCAGCCAAACACCTAAAATATGTTACACAAATACTTAGAAGACTATGACAGGAGAACTGCTAAGGAAGATGTTCAGTCTTCACCTACCATTGTAGTAGTATCCTTTGATAACTTTGGGGGTCTCATCCAGTCGGTATTCATTGAGTTTCTTCTGGGTTAGTTCATGCCAGAATCCTGCATCCAAGGCACTACTGAAGGGAGCAAACTGCAGCTTTGAGATTCCAGGATCTACAGGATGGTGTACCTCACCACTGGCAGTGGCCATAATTTTAGATGATGATCACTGTTAAACAGAATTCTGTAAAAGCAGGTATGTCTGATAAGTATATACACAATAGATCATTTCACCTATGACTACTCACAGCTACTTTTTTATCATTTTGGTGGATTAAAGTGAAGAATGCCTGTGATTATCTAAGATAAGCATAAATGCTACAAAACCAAGGATTTGTTACACATTAAAACTAAGATTTTAAAATATTAGTTTTAAAACTCCTCACAAAGACATGAACATAAGCTCATATCCCTCTCACAGCACATCCATCTGCCAACCCAGCAACTGCTGTTTTCCAAGTCCAGAAGGGAAGTCAACAGCTATTGATTCCAGTTTTGTTCCAATGCTCATCAAATCAACCACCTGAACTCAAATGATCTTGAAACGATTCCTTCAACTAAATGTTTTTTAAGACTATTTTTTAGCTTGCATAATGCAATCCTATGCAATTGCCTTTTATTACTGATGCTTCACAATACCCGTCACCTTTTACATGAACCAATGGTAGGATTTTAAAGCAGGAAAGTCAAAATAAGGTTCCCAACACAGCTGTGTTCTCTGGCACCAATCTGAACAGATAACTAGAGTTTTGCTGTATTGAAGCTTGGATTGAATTGAACCGCTCCAAGTTTGCTGTCCTGTGAAGTCACTTTTGCAAAAAGGAACTGAGCTTATAAGCTTTTCTTTCACTCTCTTTGGAACAGGGGGAAAGGAACAAGTGGTGGGTTTAATTTCTTAATAACTGTCAAATATCCAACTTTGAGTCAAAGGCAGTTATGCTTTTCCTTACATAACACTTCCTTAAACAGTCTTCAGTGTAATCCAGCTATGCTTTTTATGTTTAATTTATCCAGCTTAGCTTCTCCTTTTACTGTAACTGCTTTACTTGCTGCTAAGTTGTGGACTGTAGTTTTTTGGGAGTAGGTTTGAGGTTTTCCATATCTTTCATGGTGGAAGCTACACGTTTCAGTTCTGTCATGATGTCTTCCTGTAATCAGCATATTGCAAATACACCATTTCGTCTTTCCCCTCCACCACCTTTTTCTTACATTCCCTTAATTTTTAGCAGCAGCTGGAATTCATGGCAGTGTGAACTTTGATAGCTTATCCCTTTTTATTAACACAAAAAAAATCAGTTTCTTGAAACTTTGCAAGTCCTAGAAATGTAAACATCACAACTAACCGCATGGAATTTTCTCACTATTTTTATAAACTCCTTTTTCTGTGAGTGTAAGAAGTAACATAAATTAGCAAACATTTACTACTACATAGCTGTTAAGCCCTAATAATTTTTTTTGCAACTGTATGTCACTGAAAGCTTATCATAAAACAGGTAAACAATCATTTGTCATACAGACGTTAGCAATAAGAGTCAGATTACAAGGTGCTTGATGTCAAGGCTTCCATACCAAAACCTTTAATTCAAAGGTTCCCTACCCCCTTTTTTTTTCTGAAACAAGTTGTCACGTTCCTTGCCAGACAAGCTCTATTGTAACTAAAAGTTCTAGATTTCCTTCAAGCCTTTTTTCAACTTTTCAAACAGGTAATGTTTTCATTTAGCTTTTCCCCCCATTATTACATGACACACCCAAGACTAAAGTGTCCTGTCAAGCATTTTACAGGACCGAGAAACCAGTGACAGTACCTATATGTTCATGAGTAACACACACTGAAAATACCAGCCTAAAAGCATCCACTTGGAATGAATTTTAACACCCTCCTTATTTTCTTTATTACAGCAGTAAAGAGTTATTGTGCAACTTAAGGAACACAAACAGGGGACCTCACTATGCAAATGCACTTGCAAATACACATGCAAACAGAGGAGCACATGCAATCACCCTTGATGTACTGACTCTTGAAAATCTTATTTAATGTATTTTGATATAAACATTCACTTACATGCATTCTTAATGCAATATCAGCAAACCAAGGTACATTTGTGCAACAAATTTTAGAAGACTGAAGATGAAACGTATACATTTTGTAAAGGCTGCATGTAGAAATTCACACGCAGCCTCTGAAGGTAAGAAGTGACTAGGAAAATATAATAAATAAAGAGAAGTAGAAAAAACATATCCAAAACTTTCTATGTGGAACAAACCCTGAATTACAAAAGGGTCCAGTCAAAAATTGTGCTTGAAATGCAAAGGTTTGCCAGTATGCCTTAGATATCCTGCCAGTCACGGAATTTGGGAGTATTTAACCTGAAATACAGATGCACTATCACCAGTCTAATTTCTAGCACTTGCTCTTAAACGGGCAGACATTTAAAACTGATCTCATGGAATAGCATATTAAGTGAAAAACACAGCAGGGTTTTTACTAATATTGGTCTTTCCCTTGACAGATATAATTAATCTGTTGTAACAGTCTGATTAGCAGTTTACCACCATTCAAAACTATCATGAAATTACAGGTCCCCTAACATGTGTAGGTTTTTCTACAAAACGTTTTACTCAGCAGCTCAGAGATGGGTATGTCAACAGTACCTGAGCAAAGAGATCACTATTGCCTGAATTATTCTCCGAAGAGTAAGAAATTGTCAGAGAAGCTGCTTCTGGGCTCATGCCCGTTTTCAAGCCCATTCTTGGGACAAAGAACTCTCCCCGTGCCAAAGGCCATCACGGACACACAAAAAGGCCGCATTGGCAACGGCGCCCCCCGTCCCGCCAGCCCCCCGAGCGAGTGCGGTCCCCCCGGCAGGGCCCGGCCCCGCATACGGCGCGCCCGCAGCCCCAGCTCCCGCCAGGGAGCCCCCTGCGGCCTCGGGACACCCCGGCCTGCAGGGGCGCGGCAGCCGCGAGCTGGCGGGACCTCAGGCGGGCGCGGTGCAGAGCGGGGCCGGTGCGGCGACAGAGCCGGGACCGGTGCCGGCACCCGGGGGGCGGCGCACAGGACTCAGTGCCGGGCCCGGTGCCGGTACCCGGGGGTGTCCCGCAGCACTCAGTGCCGGGCCCGGTGTAGGCACCCGGTGCTAGTTCACAGCGCTCCGTGCCGGTCCCGGTGCCGGTCCCCGGGGTCCCGCAACACTCAGTGCCGAGATCAGTGCCGGTCCCAGTGCTGGTCCCCGGGGTCCCGCAGCACTCAATGCCGGGCCCGATCCCGATACCTGGGGGGGTCCCGCAGCGCTCCGTGCCAGTCCCAGTGCCGGTCCCAGTGCCGGTATCCGGGGTCTCGCAGCGCTCCGTGCCGGTCCCAGTGCCGGTACCCGGTGCCGGCTCACAGCACTCCGTGCTGGTACCGGTGCCGGTCCCGGGGTCCCGCAGCGCTCAGCACCGGCCCCCCCGCGATCCCCTCACTGCTCGCTCCGCACCTCCCGCATCGCCGACCGGCTCCGCCGAGTGACGTCACCCCGCCGCGCGCACGTGATGCGGCGGCCGGCGCGGAGCGGTGACGTCAGCGGGCGCGCTCTGCCTGCGACGGGGCGGGGCGGGAGAGGCGGAGAAAGGGGAGGGGATGGATGGATGGATGGATGGATGGATGGATGGATGGATGGATGGATGGATGGATGGATGGATGGATGGATGGATGGATGGATGGATGGATGGATGGATGGATGGATGGATGGATGGATGGATGGATGGATGGATGGATGGATGGATGGATGGCGGTGTGAGGTACTGTGGGATGGGAGGGGAGTCAAATCCTCCTGAAAGATTCACAGCTACAAGTGGGAAGGAGAAGGGTACACGTGCCAAACCAAGGAAAATCACAATCATATATATGGAGAAAAAATTGCCCAGCGTGGCTGGGTAAATACTGGAATAGGTTTCCAAAGAGGCTTTGTAGTCTCCATCCTTGGGGACTTGACTGCACAGGCTCTGAGCTGACTTTGATGTTTGCTCAGCTTTGAGCCCGAGGTTGGTCTGTATGGCACCCAAAAGTGTCTTCCAGCCTGAAGCTTTTCATGAGCTTATATTGACTTTTTTGCAGCTCTAGAGTACAAAACAAAGCATGTTTTCCACAAAACAAGCATTACCTCTTTATATAGCTTATGATATTTACCTGTAAGGAAAACAAAAATTGCCAGAGCTGCTTGTTTTTTTGGGAGAGGACACAATACTGGAGTAATATCCATATTGCAGAAACTGCTCCCAAAATGAGGAGTAAGCCTCAGAGGAAAAACCATCATTTAAGCATGGGCAAGGTCACATAATGACAATTGGTCAGACAGCTTCAGGGGAATATTTTCAGTGCTGCTAGTTATGCAAATTTAGACTTGATGTTTGGATAGAGAACCTTGTTGTGGAGCATGGGCCGAACAGACTTTTCAGGAATTTCACAAATAAAATAAATTGAAAAAGAAACTTGGAAGTTTATTCTACATGCTATACCTTGTATCCAACTGCATTACATCAGTAAAATTCTACAATTCCTCATTTCACTCATTTTGTTGGTATTGGTAAATCCTCTACTCTATTGGACACTTATAACACAGTCCTGCAGTTTATTTCCTCAAGGCTGGAAAAGATTTTATTTTATTACTTTTTGGTCTCTATATTCTCTTTTTACATGACATTTAAAGGGAATATTGATGACATCCCATCAAAATAGCTGAAATGTTGTTCCCAGTCTGCACAGATCTATAACCTAGCTTGGATTCACAGTTTTTGAGCAGTTCCAATTTCGTAATGTGGTTTGTGCTGCCAGCATTTAACACAGGTCATAAGAAATGAGAAATACAGGTCATAAGAAATACAGGGCAGAGGGACACAAGGAACTGTTGTACCTGAAATCAGACTCCAGGAGTTAGATTTCTGCACAGCAGTTGTAGAAATTATGCAGATCTAGGGATTCTTTATATTTAGTGAGGAAGAAATTAGTTGCCAGGTAGGATACTGAGTCCAGTTCCCAGGTCTGGCTGTGTTGTTTTTGAAGGCTAAGTTATGTCATGTCTGATGACAGCAAAAGACATTTGATTTTATTCAAGGCCATCAATTTAATGACTCAGTAGGGATTCATTTTAGTGACAGTACCAATACATAGCAGTGGGTACTATGGAGTCCTTATCTTTGCAGACAAACCCAAATGATAAGGGATACAAATACAGTTAAAAATAGCAACATTGTTAAACTTACCAGATGACCCATATGTTTTTAACCACTACCACACATAAATGTACATCCCTTGTACTTTTTAACTGGTGGAGATCACAAATGCAATTTTGTAGTAGCCTGGTATGTGAACTCATGCGTCTGTGCAGGTGTAAAATGTACACCTCACCTTTGACTTTTTTTCCTGTTTCTATTTTACACTCTAATATGACAGTGGAGAAATAATTTATTTTGGTGTCAGGTATGTAGCATTTTTTAAGATAATTTTGAACTTAATATCAGGAATGTAAACTTATTTTCAGGAGTTATTTTTCACACTGTGTCAACAATTGTTTTATTCTAATTCTTAAACAGACTCACAATTTGATGAAAATTAATAATTTTGTTATCGTACTTAATAAAAGTGAATATTTATGCATAGCATTTAAATTTAACTTGGCATTTATAAGTGAACTAATTCTTGTTGTGGTGGAGGGAATGCCTGCACTGAAATTTTGAAGTATATTCTTATACCTTCTCTGTAGAAACTTAAACCAGGTTAGGAACTAGTCCTCTAAAATCCCTGGTAACAGTGGAAAATCTGCAGAATTCAGGGCCTTTTCTAGAGCTGTCAAGATGTGTTTACAGTGTTTTTATATTAATATCTGAGCATTAGAAATGTATTTTTGAAGTGAATTTTCCAGTCATTTTCAGTTATTGTGCTTTCACAAAGTACATCATTAAGTGGTCTCACATAAAATGTAATGGAGTCCTTTTAGATGATGGGATGAGGCCCAAGTGGGGCCCTACACTTTTGTTTCCTTTACTGAGAGTGACATTTCCTGAAAATAATATGGGGAAAAGCAAGTACTAAATGGCAGACTTGCCTGATGCACAGCGTACCGTGCAGCAGCCACCAGATGTCCCTGTTGATGCAAACATTGTGGGAACAGCTTTTTCTGCCTCTCAAAAGCCAGGTCGGTTGTTCTGACCACACCTTAATCACAACAGAACTCCAATTCAAGACATTCCAAGACCCTTGTTATGTTCTCTTAAAGCTATGTGACCTCTAACCTTGTTTATTAACTGGAAAACGTTGAAATATTTTATGGGAAACCACACCTGAAATACTCTCTTGAGCCTTAGCCCCACATGGTAGGAAGCTTCTCCACTCCTTACCCTAATTTAGTTTCCTCTCCTTCTCTTACGTCCAGAGCCAACTGAATTGCCTATTAACTAAAGTAAACTGATAAATCCTCTTAGGTTCCTTGATAATTGGCATTTAAAATAAGGAATTATAAAAAAAATAAAATTCTCCTATTTTATTATTGTCTATTACAGCTATCACATCAGAGAAGCTCATGGTTGCTTCCCCGTCTTTATTATTAACACATTTGCACTAAGATCACGGATGAAAATAAAGGGAGATAAAAAATATTCAGGCAACTTTATTTATTTGGGTTTAGCTGTGCTGTGTTTGAATTTTTAGAAAAATTTTCAGTTATCTTGATTTTGTTGTTTTGTTGTGTATTAGTACATTTTAACGTCAGAAAAGACAATTGCCATGATCAAGAAGACAAACTTCTTGATAACTCTGACTAGCCCTTGGGTAAATATGTTTCAGCAATGTACAGTAATAACTGTAGCTGACTTAGTGTGCTGCCTTTTTATTTCCTCAGGGATCATCTAAATTACCATCCATTTTGGCTACAATTGCTGTTGCATGTCACAATAGGAAAAAAAAACATAATGGCTGTGAATCTGTGCAAATGTTTGTGCAACGCCATGGGATTAGAGCATATGTTTCAAAAGATGGTGTTCTGTACTCCAAAAGCACGTGTATTTTATTACTTGTGCAGATGTTCCTCCTGCAGTGAAAGTTGTCTGAATTCTGGTATAAATTTTGTTGCTTTTATATTGTCTCTGCATTTTGACTTTATTTCTCCTAGACTGAAGTTCCCTAAATGCAATTTTTCCTGCATGCAACTTGAAACCAAAGTCAATTACTCTCTGAACCTTGTATGATACATTGAAATAGACTGAATTTAAGTTTATTCCTTTAACAAATTTTTCCAATTTATTAAAATGTAGGTATATTAGGGCTTCATTTAATATTGAATATTTTAAATACAACTATTAACACTGAGGTGTTGACAGAGGATAATAATACTTTGAATTTTGTTAGAGTATTATATCCAGCATTTATGAGCATCATTCACACATTATCCTAAGTGTTGCACTGTTACTGTAAGTCTTGTCATATTCACTTTACGAAATAGGCACAGAGTGACTCTAAGTAGCTCAAGACCTTTAATTAAGAACACAGGTTTAAGAATTTCTCCTCCTACCATTAAACTACCATTTTTTGCTTCTGGTGTAATAAGGATATTACACAGAATGTCCCACCAAACTCTGTACAATAGTCAGTTGAAGGAGGCCAAGTGCAATCAGAACTTTGTTGTTAAGCTAACTCAGCAATTTCAGAAGCAAGAAAACATTCAGTTGTGATGAAAACATCATCACAACAAAATGAATCGGAGGAAATTCTTTTTACTTGGAACCTTCAGGTTGCCTCTCTAATCATCCTTCCTAAAATATATGGGATAGATGTATATAAACTCACCATGACATGCAAATGTGACTTTACCTGTTGAAGTTATCTGGTTCTGGGATTTCTCCTAAAACTAACATACTCTGCAGTGTTTGCTTAAAATGCTTCTCTCATGTAGAGAAGCATCTCTTGTTCCTAGCAGCAGAACAGGAATGAAAGCTTTACTTTGTGGTGTGCCACAAACAAGATGCTGTTGTGTCTTGTGATACTTGGCTAATCCAGGGCCTGAGACATCACCTGCCTCAGTTCTCCCCTTGCTCTCCAGTCTGTACACTCTGCTTTAATTTGGTGTCATTGTTCTGTGAAGTTGCAAGCTCCCTGATAAGTTGGCTCATATGATATGTGCCACTGTGTACCGTGCTTTGAGTTGATAGAGGGTAGATTTAAATCAGATATAAGGAAGAAATTCTTCCCCATGAGGGTAGTGAGGCCCTGGCACAGGTTGCCCAGAGAAGTTGTGGCTGCCCCATCCCTGGGAGTGTCCAAGGCCAGGCTGGACAGGGCTTGGAGCAACCTGGGCTGGTGGAAGGTGTCCCTGCCCAGGGCAGGGGCTTGAAACAAGGTGGTCTTTAAGATCCTTTTCAACCTAAACCATTCTATGCTGGGGGACTGTGTGTTCTTCCTTTGGGAACTAATCTATACTTGACTGAACTTATGAAGAGGGGATTGATTCCTGCTGTGTAACAGGGCCTGTCTGGTTCTGAGAATTGGTCAGTACTTTGAAACAGTTTAAATCAGTGGCTGAGAAAGTGCATGCTCAGAGTTGATGGAATGAACCTTATCCACAAACTCCTCTGTCAAGGCTGCATCCCAGCTTTTCCACGTGAAGCTGGTTTTACAGATGTTTGTCATTCAAAGGTTGGACTTGATGATCTCGGAGGTCTTTTCCAACCGGATTGATTCTATGATTGTGGGTAAAGGCCCTGAGCAACATCATGTAATGTAAAAGCCAGCCCAGATTTCAGCTGTAGCTTCTTTTTTTTGAGATCTCTTCAAACACAGACTATTCTGTTATTGTGAGTTTTTTCTGAAATATTTTACAGCATTTACAATAAGATTTATAAAATGTAATTAAATATAAAGGAAAGAAAAGGTAAACATACTTCATGTATAATCAACTGCAAGCCTAGAAAGAGCATCACACTGTTCTTGAATAGATAGTGACAGCATGGAAAGTCTTAGCAAAATTTATAGGACATAAAAGTACTATTGTTTTCAGCAAAGTCAGTGTACAGGTATAAAAGGAACAAACATGATATCAAAGAGATACATTAGGGTACGATATGACTTGACATTTCATAAAAAGTTTATGATTTTTGGGGAAGCTATAAATAAATACCTTAGATTTTCTTAAACAGTTGAAAGTTCTTTCTTTGACTATGCAGAATACCTCCACTTGCAAATCCCACTTCCCAAGCAGTGTGTACCTGTGTTTTAATGGAGTAAGTTGAAACAATATATTTGGCCAATCACAGAAGTGTTATTCTATTTCTTCCTTTTCTGTAGCTGAATCATTTATAATCGCTGAAGATCTCTATTTATACCTCCAGTTTTGTTCTATGTGATGAAAGAGGTCATCTCAAATTGTAAATGGTTTACAACAGTCTAACAGTTTGGAGGTTGACCATGAGTTTTTTAGATTCCTGATCTGAAGTACCTCTCTTCAAATGTGTTAAAACTGTTACATGCATATTTCCCACTTTTACTAACACTTTTTTATAAATTACAACTTTTTGGTGTTTTTTTTTGAGACTGGAAGATTATGTTTGTTTGACCTCTTGAGCTGCTTTTGAGCTCAAAAATTCAGAGGAATATCAATGAATGTGAAGGATCTTTTTGAATGTCTTCTTGAAATTCTGGTTACAAAGAGGATACAGGAATGGATTTAAGGTGGAGTTCACATAGCCGAGCCATATAGTGACCATATGTAAGTTTGAAAACTGTTCATGGTCATGAAATGCTATTACCATAAATGATACAAAATAGGGAATCCAGCACAGCATGAAGGCTGCCATTATGACCCCTAACTGCTTTGCTGCTTTCCTCTCCCTGTTCCCATGCAGTCCTTGAATGTTCCCTTTGTAATGGGTATGGAGACTTTGCCAGGTTTTCCTCAGGTAAGTCAGTCCTCTGAAATCCCTTTTCTCAGTCTTTTCCTGAGCACTGCAGGCTCTTTCTGAGTTAGGACTGGAATTCTCTCCACATGGTACCACCTCAGGGAAAGTATGGTTGTCTGATGCAACACTTGCGTCACTGTCTTGTGAGCAAGGCTCCTTCTCATTTGCATTCTCCTTCATTGTACACATGTAGTTCTTTCCTGCTTTATCCAGGCCTCGCTCAAACTGGGCAGTGCTGAAAGGAAAACATCTCCATTTAAAGACTTTCCCATTACTCTTGCCATCAAATGCCTTTGAAGACTTGTCAGGATTACTGAAATGAAGCTCTGTCTCCACATTTTTGGGCTGTGGGGAGCTTTGCATGTCTTTGGGTGGGGTGTTCTCATCTAAGATCTGCTTGTGGAGGCAAATATTTTGCTCTTCCTTCATCTTGTTATCCTGTATGAAGTTTTTGTTTGAGGAAGACCAATATGATCCATTGATGAGCTCTCGGTGTTGGCAGTGTTTTCGAACAGCTCTGAATATTTTATAATAGAACCACAACATCAAGATAGAGGGGAGGTAGAAATTGACAATGGCTGTCAACACTTTGAACCAGGTGACCTCAGAGAATTCAGTTTCACACTTGTTTTTCTTTACTTTCCTTTCCCCATTATTAGCAAAAACGTGCCATCCTAGGATTGGAATGACCCACATGAAAGAGAGCAACCAGATCCCCAAAATCATGAGCGATGCTCTCATTTTTGTTCGGTACTTGAGATATTTTAGTGGTTGCTGAACTGACCGGTAACGGTCGATGCACAGTATGAAGAGGTTGAAAATGGAGGCAGTGCTGGCCACGTAGTCCATGGACAGCCAGAACAAACAGGCTGGTAAACCCAGAGGCCACACTGGACTTAGAAGATAGACAATATTCAAGGGCATAACAGCTGCACCAACTATAAGATCTGCAATAGATAGGCTGACAATGTATAAATTGCCAACTGTCTGCAGCTTCTTCTCAGTTTTCACAGCACATAGTACTAATATATTCATGACAATAGTGACTAGTGAAATGCTTCCCAGGAACAGGCCTAGAAGAGCTGAGTGAGGGCTGGTTGAGTTCTCCATTGTGTTTTTTGACATCTTTTTCATAGGCCCACAGAATGAAAATCGGGGCCGATGTCCAGGCCTTGGAAAGTCACTCTTGGTTTTCACTTCTGGATGAAAATGTGTTGGATTTCTTTGTGATTTTCATTTCCAGAACTAGGGAAAAGAAAAGAAACATGCTTAATCACTGTAGTACTGAAAGAAAATAAAATAATAAAGCTTATCTGTGCTTCAGCTTAGCACTGTCCCTCTTAGGGCTTTCTAAGTAAAGACTTTTTACAACATTTTACATATAGGTTTCACAGATTTCACAGAATATTCTGAGTTGGAAGGGACCCACAAGGTAATTAAAGATGTGTTCTATGAAAAGTACTGGAACAAGCTCCACTAACCAATCCAAAATGGTTTGCAGAGGTGTTTCATAGGGTTCCATATATTTCTGACCCCAGAATCTGGAGAAGAAATTTCAGTCCTCACTGGTTTGATTCATTATATCTCACTAAATAGCTGATCACAAACCAGAACATAAACTACATACTGGCAAGCCAATTTAAAGTGTGGTAGTAAAAAGCATATTAACATGTTTTGTACTAAAAATTTTAAACAAAGCAGTGATTTACAATCTACATCTAATAGTTTGAGAATACAGCAGCTGGCAGCCAGTAGACAATCATTCAGATTATAGTTAGCGAGTAATCTATTCCTACACAATTTAGGCTTACACAGATTTCAAACATTTAAAGATGCTATTCCTATTTTATATCAAGTGCAAAATAACAGGATTTTTTAGGATTAATAAGATTATCCTTCCCAACTGCTAACTTCGTGCATTGATCCAAAGTCAAAAAATGATTAATAATATTTTAAGTCTTGGAGCATATGGTCAATTGATCAAATTCTATAGACATAGAAGAAAAATGTCTGTGAGGGTGATACACATTTTGTGCCATTTTATAGAGCTTGTCTGAGTTTATGTTCTGGTAAGTGTCTTAAACGAAAGAGGAAAGAAACAGATTATAAAGATTCTAGCCCAAAGTTTTTACACAACTAGCACTGAGATATATATGGGATTTCTCATCCTCATAGTTCTAAACAAGGTCTAAACAATACAATGCAATAGATTATTCGGTGATCAGTGTTTCATATTGAAATTCAATATTTCATGCTAACTTTATCTTTCTTATTCCAGAAATCAGGTTTGAAGCTAAAATGTTTGTGTGCTTTCTTACGAAAGGTCAAATTCCTTCTTCCTGAGGTTTTACTTACAAATGGCTGGTGTTGAGATGGATGGGTCCTTGGAAGCAGGACACATGGGCAGAGGAAATAGGGACACCATGGGATGTGAGCTTGATAGCTGTGCTCTGGAATTTTGTATTCCGTGTATTCCATACAGACCTCGGGTTCTGTCATGTACAGTTCCTCAGTGGCAGCCTGGCACAGGTGTCAGCAGGTCAGAGGCCTCCAGCATCTCCTGTGTGAGAATAAGGACAGAAATTACTCCTTGGATTTTAAACCAACATGTCTGGTGATGGAAAATGGTTGTACCCCACTCTGTCCTTTCCACAGCTAAACACTGTAACCTCCACACTGGGTGTAAGAGTACAGGACATGGCCAGGTCAAGGAGTTATGTTAATTACCTCAGGGACCCCATAAAGAAATTACTGATCTTCACGTATTTTCATTGAAATTTATGGTAAAATAAAGGGAGAGAAAACAACTTTAACTGAGTCTTCAACATTAAAAATAACAGCAAAGAAAGTTATCTCGTTAGACAGCTCTCCTTTGTTATTTATGAACTGTATATGGAATATATATGCATATGGGGTTGGACTGGATGACCTTCAGAGATCACTTCCAATCCTAACAATTCTGTGCTTTTGTGAACAAAACATAGAGCAGAATTCAGTAAATTGTGTTGACTGCTTCCCAAACTTTCTCCTTAGCACTGCTGCAGTGAAATAGGGTAGAATTTAGAAAGCAACTTGCAGAACTTGATCTGGAGTTGTGCTCCAAAGAAGGCATGAAGGTCAAGTTTTCAACTCACACTCCCCTTTTATTAAAATGTCTTTTATTAAATTACAAAGCTTGATTACTTTTCTATTTTGGAAGAGCTTACACAAGCTATAAGAATCCAAAAATTATGTCAGGAGATAAAAATAATTTGAAAACGCTAAGAACAAGAAAAATTCAGGGTAATGCACTTGCTCTTTAAAAAATACACATGCTAAGTGGTACTTCATGTTTATAATAATTCTGTCTTATAATGTAATTTTTATCACAGTATCATTTGAATGATTCATAGTCCCTCATGGATCTTATCTTCTCAGCTTTTTAGAGAGCTAGCCATGTACCAATAAATTTTAAAGTGAAATTGAGGAACAGGTTCAAGTGATCTGGCAAACATCATACATTTAAAACCAGCCAGTGTGCTGACTACTTACTGTTTTTTTCTGTTTAGACCTTTTTTGGTCTGTATTCCTTCAGACACTCTAGACAAACAACATAGACTTTGAAATTAGGGGTTTTTTTAACTTTAATGCAGTACAAGCAACCTAGTCAGACTTTGATCTTCTGACATCTTCCATTGGAATAAGTCCACTTATATGGTAGGTTTAATATGGCTGGAGTGGGACTATACCCAGTAAAAAGCAGCTACAGGGTTAATTACTGAAATGAGCTTGCAAGAATCATTTGCCCTAGTCTAGAGTGAGTAGATCTGAAGCTGGATCAGGATATGAAAACCTTTACAGTAACACTGTATTTTCCCTGTTGAACAATTTGTGGATTTCACATATGATCTTCTACAACCCTGACTTTGGGAGTATTCTCCCACCAAAGACAGTACTTCAAGGATCTGAGTGATTTATGTTTTGGAGTGTGTTAATGAGAAAAGAAGCCACTAAAGACATAACTGGAGGAGGGTCTCCATACCTTTGTCATGAAAGTTATATACCCAGCACATACTTCCAAACTCTTTAGTTTAAAATGAAGCCAAACTGTACCTCTGAATCTGTTAAAAAGATGTGCCGATGGATTGAATTGGGCACAAAATGCTTAGAGTAGAGCAGAAATGCACTGCTGCCTTTGTATGATCTAGTCCTTGCAGCTTTCTCTTTGCATTTCCTAGCACATGACACCATGTGCTGCTGCTGTTTCTGCCTTAGATTTTTCAGATCATGCTAAGTTCTCCTTAAATTCTGGTAGGCATTTAGCAGCACATCAGACATACCATAGTCCCACACTCATGTGTGTATAGAAAAAATAATCTGGTGTCTTTCTTGAGTCTTCTGGGGGCCAAAGAAGTCTTCCAATGCAGGAGACTACGACTTGCACCCATCAGTGTCCATACTCTTTCAACGAGTTACAGAGGGCTCACATCTCCCATTTCTACACAGACCAACAGAACAGTGCAAGAGAAGTGAGTCAGATTCCCCCCCCCCCAGAGTGAAGGTGACTGCACACAAAATAGCATGCAGAGAAGTTCCTTTTATTTGCAGAAATGTTATGTTACTACTCAGTGCCCTCCAATGCCACACTGTATTCAGAGCCTTCTCCCTTTCTTGCCCACTAAGCTTACATTGAACTGCTACATTTGCCACTCTTTGCTGGAATTAGTACATTTTGCCACACAATTCTATCCAATGGAAGATAATTAGAAAGCAATAAGCCTTTCTCCATCCTATGAAATCCACCAATCACCTCTTCTGGATTGTAATCTAAAAATTTCCTTCTTAAACTTCCTCCCATCACCATTAGTAGTGATGGTACCAAATATCATCAGCAGTTAGTCATGGTGGCAGCCCTGTGATTTGCAATAGCAATAGTTCTTTGCTCTTCCTTGAGGCACACACCATTTTGCAGTGACTGTAAGCTGGTTGTGGTATATGTACCCCTGTTCAGAAGCTACTGGTTTAATTCTTTATCAGTAACTCAGTTCCCAGTAGAGGAACATAATGATACTGAATAAATGGGTTTTAATGTTTGAAGAATTTAACTCTAGTTACACCAAGACAAAATTCACCAATATTAAACAGATTTTAAAGAAAACAGTCAGTCTAAGGTCTTGGATTGCTTTTTTTGAATTTCTGAACCCTGACCTCACCATGAAATGCCTCTCTAATTTTTACAGTTGTAAAGAGCTTTTTCTACAAGGAAAACCAGCAATCATGATTTGTTTGTTATTGTATCACTGTTACAAGGAACAAGAATCTGCTGGGAGATGCTAAGTAGATGCGTTACTGACTCATTAGTGCAGGTGGAATCTATTAAGCCCTGACTAAGTGGGAGTAAGTTTCTAGAAACAGATGCCAGCATCCCTCTTATAGACGAGTTTTTAAGAAACTACAGCTCCAAAGGAAAGGGTTGGGCTAGAGCAGCCCTTGTTCATCAGACTAAGTTCAAGTTAGAAGCTAAAATTTGATTTCAGATGACCTGTCCTCATGTTATCCTCAAGAAATCTATTTGTTTCTAGAGATTTGTTTTAATTATTCTTTAGGTGTTGAAAGTTTTAAGATGCTACAGGTTTGATTATTTTCCCTCTCAAAGACTCATTTTTTTCTCTGTAAGGAAACATTCCCTATTCAATGCCTTCCAATATTCAAGGAATATTTTTGATTAAAAGTAAATAGAAAACCTTGATAACCGGCCTGCTGTTCCCACTGTTACAGTCTAGGAAGGACACAGGTTTGTTGTTTTGGTTTATATTTGTTTGTTGTGATTTTTTTTCTATTTTTGTCCTCAGAAGAGTGTCTTCCACTATCAAAGGAAAGACTGAATTCCATCTGTCCTTAAGTTGTCTCTCCTAGGTAGTCTGAAATGAAAAGATACATAATTTGAAGCTTTAGTGTCTGACCAGTCAAATTTTGTCAGTCATGCTGGATTGCCCTCTTCCCCTCAGATACCTATTTTAAATGACAATGAGAGTTATAAATAAATCTCTTACTATGTGAACAAACAAGTCAGTCTGACTTATAAATACTTTCATTCCTTGTTTTTGTTATGACTTTTCCTTTGTGTGGAAAAACTCCTTAACAACAGATTTGGATATCTGACTGTCTAGTCTTGCACTAACTTGCATTGTGTGCATTTGGTGGCAGAGAATTTTCAGTCGTTCTTGAAGTAAATGCTGTCTTGGGGAATAAATGAGGCCAGAACTAATGTATCAGATGTTCTGAAATCTACTTTACAGACTAGACTGAGGAGAAAATTGCTGTCTGAGTTGTTGGATTTGAGATCTAAATATTGATTTAAGAACTAGATGCCCCACAAAATGATGCAGGCCTTCAATGTGCCAGTGGTGACTGGGAAAGGTATTCTCCCTGGGCAGGGGAACGGCAAGCACGCTGTTTCTGAAGTCTTCTCCACACTTCCACTTCCAAGGAGACTTGATGGTCCAATGCTATAATTGATGCACTTTTTATCCCTCCTGATTCTGTCACTGGTCTAAAAAATATTTTCAATAGGCTGTAAAGATTCAGAACAGGAACAAAGCAGAATAGAAGGAACAGCGTGGTTACATCCACACTCATAAGACATTTATCCAATTTTCTCTAGGAATACACATTACAAATGATTTTAAAATACTTTAGCTGAAGGCTCCTTGAATTAATTTATCCAGCTGTTCTGAGTGTGCAGTACACTGGGAATGGTCCTCTCATGCCTAGAGCAGCAAACAGGGGACTAATTAATTGAGTGTTACAAAAGGGCTAGAACAAAGTCAGCATGTCAGCCCTTCTACACGGGAGCTGTATAACTTGGTTGTGGTCTGTTCTGTGATATTAAATTTACCCTTATTTCTCTAACTTGGATGGTCATGTTCTAAGCATAACAAGCAGACCTTGTGAACAACAAAAAGGTGGAATGCAGAGCCTATTGTGAAGAAGACTTGATGTTTCTTTGTGAAGTCTTTCAAGGAGAAGAAAGTATTTATTATTATAAAAGTATGATATGCTGAATTTGTGACTGGTTTATGTAGGGCTATTTTCTTTTCAGTCCAGTGATTTTACTGGGCTATCTCTATTTTTGTTTTAATTGGTATATTTGGATATTAGGGTACAGGATCTAAGAATTGCAGACAAATACTGCTTTTATTTAATTGAGGAAATATTACATCAAGGTTTTTAAAGTGAAGCATAATTCAAAGAGCAAGAAAACATTTGTGCTGGCTGAAAATTTAGAAAATATAAGTGGAAGTTCAGCTTCAGGCTTGTAGATGATGCTTGCCTTGATTATACTTGATATTTTCCGGTTTTAGCTTTTATAGACTCATAGCAGTTGCTTCTACAGCCTCACGGATTGATCAGATTGGCAGGTTACATACTGCTCTCAACACAGATTTTGCTGGTTGCTGATCTTTGGCTTTTATTTGGGTGAGGAGCCTGGTTCAGTAGTAATGGAATTGGTTAGTTTTAGCCATCTGCCAGCAAAAACTGTAGACCTCCAGACCTTCTGAAAGTTTTAGTGTGAAGAAC